TGAGTCTCAACAGAAAAATGGCTGTAAATGATCTGCTTTCTTCTCTCTGTCTTCTCACCCATCATTGAACCAGTGTGTGAGTGTGTGCTCTTCCACGTCTCCATATTTTCAGCATGAATCTCTTGTGTTCTTCTTTAGCACGTGTGGGCGGGTGTCTGTCTGTGTGTCTGTGTGTGTGTGTGTGTGTGGGTAAGTGACTGTTTGGGTGTGTGTCCAACGGCGGTCGCACATTCTGCATCACCATTCATCTCAATTTAACAGCGCTCAATTTGTGACTTGCTGCTGTGTGTGTGTGTGTGTGTGTGTGTGTGTGTGTGTGTGTGCGGCCATCAGAGCCTGTAGATGTATAAATCATTGGTCGAGATTACGGCTGTTTTATTATTCATGATGCAGGCCTTTTATTGTCAGCGATATTTATCTCTTTCCTATCTCCCATGACCTGCAAGAGAAAGAAGAAGGGAGGGAGGGAGGGAGGAGAAAGAGAAAGAGGGAGGAGGGAAAAGTCAGTGTGTTCCTGCAGTTGGAGGGGGTGGGAGGCTTTAGCTGAGCTGTACATAAATAAATTTGTTAAGTGGGCGGGTGTGGTTGAGTATTTGTGTGTGAGTGAGCCTGTGTGTTTTTTTGTGAGTGTTACCTTCGAATTCTCGCACCACAAGGCCCAAAAACCACACGCAGCAGTCCTGCATGACACATTTCTCTCTCTCCCTCTCTTTCGCTTTTCTTCCTCTTCACATATGCATCTCCTGCTCGTCTCTCGTGCTGCATTGTTTTTTTTTGTGACGTTTCTGGTTCTCTCTGTCTTTATTGCCATTGTAAAAGTTCGGTTTAGGGATGAATTCATTAAGAGTGCGTATGTATTTCCTATGATGTGAGTGAACGTGCACTATATTCATTCCTTCATAATCCTTTATAATATCATAATGGCAATCTGTTGGTACACTTTCTCTGAAACTCTGAAAGGAGTTAGTAATAAAATTCTACTTTATTCCAATGTTGGACATGATAGATTGATGTTTTATTGTGATAGTTGCTTATTTTGTTCCCTTTGGCCCAGTTTCAGCCTCTAGGGGCTCATTTTGTCTTTTTTTTTTTAGCAGAGTTGCTCTGACCTCCAGTGTTTACCGGACATGACTGAACAACCTTATCGTGAGACAAGAATCTTGATACTGACCGAATCTGCAAAACCTTTAATTACTGTATGTTCCATGACAACGGAGCAATAATTAGTATTTTCTGTAATATCTGTTCACAGCAACTAAAATACTGAGTTAAAGTTCGGGAAAGATCATGGTTAGGGTTAAATACATGCATGAAAGGCAGTTGCCCATGTCCAGTGGCAAACTCAGGCTATTTGAGGGGCAGGGGTGAAAAAACTAAAAGGTCAACTGGAAGGGCACCCAAGAGGGCACTTTTCTCCACTGGAGGGGCATCTTAGAGGGCACTTTATTGTCTTTTGCTCACTGAAAGGGCACCCTAGAGTGCACTTTTTCACATTTTCTCCACTGGAAGGTCACCCTGGAGGGCATTTCATCAGATTTTCTCCACTAGAATGGCACCCTAGAGGGTACTTTATTGTGTTTTCTCCACCATGGAGAGCACTTCTTCCTGTTATCTCCATTGGAAAGGCACCGGTAAAAATAATTTGTAAAATCATCCCTATATTTATTGCCAATTGACATGACTTTAATATTTAATGACTAATTTAATCTGTTGCAGAGTTTGTCTTTACAGACATACAACAAACCATTTTCAGGCAGAAAAAATACTTGACTCTTATAGACAAATTATTTAGAAAAGGCTCTGTTCTTTTAAACAATCTGCACAGCAACAACGATTCCTACATACATACATGAACATGAAAGCTTAGTTAAACCAACAATATCAAAATATAGTACATGAGGAGGAGGTTGGGGTGCAAATAGCACTGGCATGAGTGTATCAGTGAGTCAGGTCACTACAAACCTTTCTCCCAGCAGACATTTGGACTTAATAGTAAATAAGAAGAACAGCACACGTGTTATTAATAACATTAACTGTTCTATTCCGGTGTTCCAGTAAGTCATTAGAGTGTGCCAGCTTGAACAATGAAACTGAAGCAGCTCAGTGGAATTCAGCCATCATTCATTGTAATATTAACACCAGTCCTTTTCCTGCATGTTAAAACGTATTCTATGAAAAAGGCCCACAGCTGCAGCCTTACCTGCCTGGATATGATTGGACGTTACTAGTCAGCTGACAGCCACAAAGCTGTGACGGAGCCAGCAGTTTTGTGTAGCATGAATGAGTCAACTGATGCCAACCAGCTTCCTGAACTAAAGGCACGGTCACATTACATTTCTGAAAAAGGTTTCTTGTTTCGGATGCAGCTAATAATGAATTACTTCATAAATAAACATTCATCAGAGCGACCACAGACATTTTTTATATCATAATGGTGTCATAATTTTATTTATTTTTAAATTTGTTTAAACATATGTTGCCATTCTGAAATTATCTGTATCAGCAATGAGAAACCGGTAATTATTGGTTATCAGATTGGCTGAAAAACAGTCTATATTGCATCCCTAAAAATAAGAATAACATCTCCGTTTCCAAACACATCTCTGCAGTATTTTATTTGCCGTCCGAGCATAAGGCGAACTTTCACCTGCAAATCTGCCGGAGCTGGCAGGGAGATTTGTCCGTCCTTCAGGCTTCACTTGAAGTGAATGAGAGACGGAGTGAATATTTGTATTCCAGAAATATAATGTGATCATGCCTTTACGCTATGCTTCATTTCCTGTTTGTGTTCATGCTACCTTTCCACCAACCTCTGTGAAGTGTGAGAAGCCAGGGGATTATCATCACTGTAATAATCTGAAAAAATACAATTTTGTCAATTTAACCCTAACCCTTTTCTATCCGATGCATACCTGATGTCTGAAAACATTCATCATCTTGCATCCACTCCTCTTAGAGGTGCAGGAAGACGGCC